TGTGCGCGTATACACACACACACACACACACACACACTGTATATATGAAGGGAAAGCGGAAAAGGGTACATTAGAAGAGAATGGGTGGCTAGCACCCAGTGTCTGTTAGCCTGACCAGGAACATGAATGAGGAGAGGATGCTGACCAACAAGGGAGGTGCGGTGTCTCTCTGCGGGGAAGGGACAGACCTGCTTCAGAGTCAGTACCTTCTTCCTGCAGAGTTCACACTGCACTCCCATGCTACTCTGAGGGACAGAGCAGACCCAAACATGGCCCAGATTTGCTCGGGTTACTTCTGCCAAAGAGCAGAGACCTGTCCTTTTGTGCTAAGCAGAAGCTTATGCAGGGCCCTGCAGTTGCACCCTGGCTGCTGGTCACCCTCACCCTGCTGGCATTCTGGGGGAAGCCACACTTCCAGGTTGCTCCCTCACTTAAAGAGCGCTCACACTCACGGTGTATGGCAGGCATTTTTTGGTTCTGTCTGGTTCTGGCCTGTGGAGAGGATGCATCCTTCTGCCTGCGTTCAGGCTGCCGTCAGAAGCTGGGATGCACACACACAGGCCTTGGTCCTCTGCAGTACTGCCTATTTCTCCAAGTCATTCGTCATGCTCGTGACCCCAGACGTGGAAAGAGCTTCACAGCATTGGCCCAGCTGCTCACATGCACCCTCTACACCGGCCTTCCCCAAACCCTCCAGGAAGCTCAGCTCTTAAGTCCCCAGGACTCAGTTCTAGCTTATGTTAATAAATCAGAACCCAACTCCTACCAGTCTTGGTCTGGCTCCAAAGTCACACAAAACTCCATTTTTTTTTTTGAGTCAGTGTCAGGACTGGCTTTTCCAACACACAAACTATTTATAGTTTTACAAACTAAAAGATCCTAGAAACTGAGATTTAAAAATGTTTGTCATGTAGGAATTGAACCCATCACTTTACGTATGCTATGCACTACACTATAACCTCTCACACATGCAAACCCATTTCTGTAGCACTAAGAGGAAACCAATGCGGTTACCAAGCAACATCCAAAAGCCCTTCACCAGCAGCTACAACCCCGAAAGGAAGACACCCCAACAAGTGCAGAAATTCAGGCATGAAAGAGGCCATGAAACATTAGTAACATGAATTGTCCCCAAATTATTCAGTGTATTCAATGGGATTTCACTAAAATTCTAGGCAGTCTTTTTTTTTTTTGTTTTTGTTTTTTGGGTTTTATTTTTTTGTCAGTCATTGACAGACTCACTCCAAAAATTATTTAAAAATAAACTCGGTGTCAATTTTGAAAAAAATTAAGAAAAAAAAAAAAGAGGCTTTGCTCACCCATTTGCAAGACTTGCCATGGGTCCACAGTCATTGGTCTACGTTCATGGTCAGGACAGGTGTGTGTGCTAATAGACCAGGAGGCTGGGTCCAGGTGAAGACTCATACAGGTGTGGTCAGCTGATTTTGCACAAAGGGGCCATGGTGACAGCATGGGGCCATCTTTTCATCTCATGGAGCTGGAGCAAATGAATCCCCATATGGAAAAAACATGCCTCAATCCTCTCTTCGACTTGGCAGACTAGACTAAGCAACCCCTGCCTAAGGAGAAAAGCAGGAGGAGGAGCAGTGTGCTGTGGAGGAGCCATGAGGACACAATCCGCTTCCTAACCCACAGCTACAGCTGATCGTGAGAAAGACACCAGTCAGGCAAGCTGGCTCCTACCTGCAATCCTAGCACTTGGGAAGCTGAGACTGGAGGACTGCCATGAGTTCTAGGCCAGTGTGGTGCTCCATAGTGAGTTCCAGGCTAGCCTGGGCTATTCTGCCTCAAACATACAAAAATAAATAAAAAGGCAAGATACATCACGACACATCACACACACACACACACACACACACACACACACACACACACTGAGAGAGACGAAAGAGAAGGACAGACAGACAGACTAATCAGGTAGGGGACACTAAACAGATGATTCACAATCCTGAAATTCACAACCAGGAATGTCTGAGAACTGGGAACCCCAGGCCTCAGTGTAGTGTGGGATGATGGTTAGATCCTGGCACAGATAAAGGACTAGGAGAAGCCGTGCTGAAATCCATGCAGAGAACTGGATTTAGTTAGTAATATAAAAATAAAATAGCTTTCTGCTCAGAGGAAGCCAGGAAAGCTTCTTACAATAAAAATATTTATGCTACAAGAAGTTAGACTCATAGCTACTGTCAAGAGAACTGTATGAGAGTTTATATAAGAAACGCCTCAGAGAACAGGCTGAAGCCACTGGTGCCCCATGACGTCACACGGCAGACAAGAAGGAGATCTGGACACAGGGCCGCACACATGGCTGGCTCTCTGAGGGCACTTCAAAGTTCACCCTGTCGCACCGTCTCCCCAAGACCCAAACTGAATTTCACAAAGGCAAGCTGACTTCAGCTCTACCTCATGCATGCACAAAAATCAACTCCAAATCTGCCACGTGGGCTTGGATGCAGCTTGGTGGCAGGATGCTTGCCTAGCATGCACAAGACCCTGGGCTTCACACTACACTGCAAACAACAACAACAAACAACAACAAAACAAGCAAGCAAACACATCCATATGGAGCTAAAGATACAAACTAAAACTATAAAACCCCTAGAAAAAAGTCTATCAGCAAACTTCCCAGCCAGGAGGTAAAGCCAGGTGCAGTGGGGAGAGTTCTATAGCTAAATGGATCCTGGTTCAACTCCCAGAACCCAAGGCGGCTCTCACTGTCGTTAACTCCAGTTTCAGGGGGTCTGATGCCCTCTTCTGGCACCTGAGGGCATTGCATGCATTCGGTACACATACATACATGCAGGCAAGACAGCCACATACATACACACTATAGAATACAATTCTAAAAAAGAGAATTAAACTGGACTTTTTCAAAAATGTAAAGCTTTTAGGTGGTGCAAGCCTGTGACTCCAGCCAATGACTGGGGACGTGAAGAAAGCAAGTCTCTGAGTTCAAGGCTTTGTGGATGACATAGTGAGACCCAGAGTCAAAAGACGAAGACCCAGAAATGTGGCTCAGTTGTAAGGCGCTGGCTTAGCCTGTATGAGTCCCTGAGTTTGACTCCCGGCACCAACACAAAAATCAAAACAACCAAGCCCATCTGATTCTTGAAATCCACCAATCAGGAGATGAATAGGATACTTTGGACAAAGGAAACATTTATTGTGTTTCTGACAAAGGGTGTTTGTGTGTGATGGTGTGTTAACTGCCAAGCTGACAGAATCTAGGATCACCAGGGAGACGGGTCTCTTGATTACATGAATTAAGATAGAAAGATTCATTTTAATTGTGGGCAGGTCCATTCCCTGGGGAGGGGATTCTGCGCTCTGGAGAAACTGAGCCGTACTGGCAAGCATGCATCCGTCACTCATGCTATCCCAGTCATGGATGTTACATGAGCAGCTACTTCACGCTCCCGCTGCCTTGATGTCCCCACCAGACTGTGTGACCTTGAACTGTAAGCTGAAATAAACCATTTCTCCTGCAAAAGCTTTCATCAGAGTGGTTATCACATCAGTGGGAACAGACGCTGAGTTTGAACCTTCCGTGCATCCGTCAAGGGCTTCCCAGAGCAATCAGTGCAGGAGCGGCAACTAGGAGTTACCGATGACCAGCGGGGTCGCACAATGAATATAAAACAGACACTCAAGGGCGCTCACAGTCAGTAATTGTTAGGGAATCCACAAATTAAAACTATGGCCTACTCCTCTTCCACAGCCGTCAGAGTGACTGTAACAGCTCATAGTGCTGAGAAGACAGCCAGCCGGAGTAGGGCACCAGGGAGCCCAAGATGGCTCAGCCGTGCCAGAGAAGGGGAGTAGCAGGCTTTGAAGGAGCCAAATGTACACTTTACCTCATGACCCTACCGTTTCACTCAAGCCCCACCCCCTAGTCTGTCACGGCGTCTTGACTCATAAAAGAATGACCCAAAAGTCCATTCAGAAATGAACGAGAAGTACAGGGTGCGGATGACCATTATTGGCTAACAGGAGCCATGGCCGGTGCTCATGACACCAGTGGTTCTCAGAAGCGTCCTGTCGAGTCACTTCCTGGATCATTTTTTTTTCCTGTGAAACTCTGGAAAGGGGCTGGGGAGACTGTTTGCTGTGAAGTGTGAGGACCCGCGTCTCATTCCCAGACCCCACGTAAAGAGCTGGGCACGGTGGCACATGCATTCTCTCCAGATCTGGAGAGGTAGACACAGGAAGATCCCATGGGGTTCCCTGCCAGGCCAGCCTAGCCTAGTTAGGATGCAAGACCCAGGAGAATAAGAGATCCTGTCTCAATGAGCAAGATGGATGTTCCCGAGGAAGGACACGACAGGAGAGTGATGTCTGGTTTCTATATGTATGCACACAGTCATGAATAAGAAACACTAACACCCTTCTCCCCCTAACACTTCACACAAACTCTGGGAAACACATCTACTGGATCGTCTCCAAAACTAAGCCAGCTGTCAAGCGACGCGAGAGAATGAATGTTCACAGGAACCCCGGTTTCATCGACGGTGACAGCAGTGTACAGCTTCTTCAAATCACATCCAGGTGCACACTTAAACAGGGGCATTTTACTGTGCACAAATCACATACAAACAGAAGCGGTTTTTAAAAAATCCAAAAGGAAAGAGGTTTCCTACAAAATCTCACGCCTGACTGAAGCACCTTGGGAATCCTGGTGGGCTGGGGGTCTGGGTGGGCGGATCATAGGAACAGAGATGGGTGTAGAACTGAGGTGGGATGACACCCAGTATCTAGCATGTTCTCTGGGTCAGGGTGGGAACTTGGGCGGGGGGCACCTGGACAAGTACATGAGGTTTCAGATTCTGCAGTGGTAGCAAGCTGCAGAACTGAACACTTAACCAACATGCATTCATTCCATCATAGGGAAAGGCTGGAACCTCTCTCTCTCTCTCTCTCTCTCTCTCTCTCTCTCTCTCTCCATATTATATATAATTTAAAATGTGATAACAGGGCCTTACCAGATAGTTGCTTGACAGCCACAGGTCTCACCTTGTAGGGAGTTCTGTAAGAGAAGAGAAGGCACCATGAGTGGCTGCCAGAGGCGCCGGTGGCTGCCAGCGATAAGCGATCCCTGGGGAGCTTTACAATCCAGCTTGGTGATTTGTTTTCTTTTCCTGCTGTGGAGCTGGAGCTAGAACTCCAGGCCCTGCACGTTCCAAGCTCACGCTCTGCATTCTAAGACCCCTTCCCCCAATCTGGCTGTTCTGAGTTCTCTCATTCAGGGGCATCTAGTTTTAAAAATCATATCGTTTAACAAGTTCCTTTATAATGTCCTTTATATTTGACTAATGAAGCAAACTTCTGTCACCGATTAACTAAGACCCAAAGATACAGTATCGGGTGCGAAGAAAAGACTCTGACATTCTTTGCCTAATTCTATCCCAAGCCAGTGCAAACTGGCTCCCTCTCATTTCTGTTGAAGCTCGGCGGACCGCACTGGGACCACCAACCCTGTCAGAAACACATGCCTTTGTGGGCCTGTTTGAAGTCCTGCAGGGGACACTGGCTATTGGGACAGCAGGGAAAGGCTCTCCATGCATGTAAGGACCTCTAGCGGGCAGGGGCAGGCTTCTGAGACCAGCAGAAATCAGGTGAAGTTGGGCAATGTCCAGGGCTCAGAGCTAACCTCAGGAGAGACAGGTGGATTGGCTGCTGCTGCTGCTGCTGTTGCTGCTGTTGTTTTTAACCCAGCAGTTTGGCAGAAGTTATAACCTGATAGCAAGAGCACTAGAGGGCTCGAGAGACAGCCCTCAGAGGTGCTGCTGCCGGCTGTGCGCTAGCTACACAGGTAAAGTTCAAACACCTGACTCTAGGTCTCACAGATGAAGTTGGGAAGTCATGTTTCAAGATGAGCCATGAGAGCCCAGGGACCCTCAGACCTGTCTTGCTCATTCACTCATGCTGTTCTGAGAGCCCACTGTGGTAGGAGTGGGCAGTGAACAAGACCAAAACGCTCCTGTCACGGCAATGAACTCCCATGTTCATGTGCGGGTTTCTGAAGAGACATTATTCTGTTACAGAGTTACAGTGTCTGTCTTTAGGATGGGTGACCCGTTTGTTACCCAGAATGTTTTGATTTGAATGCAAGCAGAGGCCACTGGCCAGAGATGAGGAGGGCCTGGACAGAGACTGCAAGACACTTGGACCACAGGCAGAACTTCCTGGCTACATTCCACAGCCTCCTTGCTTAGCCTTCGCACAGGGTTTCCAAATCCTCTCAGCTCAGTAGAGCCAGTGACCATGTCTTCTGGGACTGAATAAAGCCTTGGCTCCATCTGAACTGAGTTATGGCTTCCTCGTGTCTCTTCCTCGACTCTGTTAATATAATGTAAATGAAATAACCCCTTCCCTTTAGAGTGATAAATGGTCTTGGACTTTCACTGTGTGTCTGTTCTGCCTGGCGCTTCTTCTAGGACGCTTGGGGAGGCAGCAGCCTGGCGCCAGCCGGACATCCACGGGGCATGTATGCCGAGCAGAGGGATGGCTGTCCAGCCCTCCTTGCTGGGGCCTGGTTGTTTTACCCAGCAGAAAGCTGCACGTCTCACAACTTGGCTAAAATCGGAAACCAAAGATGTGTTTGTGTTATGTCAGGAATGTGTGGTGTCAGTTCTGGGCTTCTCCTCGCTCCATATGCTACGCCATATGCCCCCTCTCCTCACACCACTGAAGCATCTGTTCCCCTTCCCCAGCAAGAGAGGAAGGGCAGGGTCCAAGAGGCTGCGGCGAGAGCGGGACACCACCAAACCTAGAACATCCCTTGGTCAGAGAGAGGCGCCAGATGGGAAAAGGTCCTCTGAGGGCAAACCTGTAGCTCCAATTTGGCCAGGCTCCAAGATGCCCGTTCTCACTTATTGGTCCTGGGAACAGGCTGCTCATTCATCATGGCTTGCCAGCTCCAGAGGAGAACGGAAGCCGATTGGCTTTCCATCTTGCTGCTGTGATTTGGGGTTTGAAACAGGTGCAGAAAACACAGCAGGCAAGCACTAATCCGTGAGAGATGGAGACAGCCGCCCATTTGACCAGGACCAGGATGAAGGTGGCTGCTTAGAAACCTCTGAGTCTTGGGGAGTCATGGGAAACCCATCCAGTGAACAGGCTCCAAGTGTGTGGATGAGACAGGCACCCACAGCCGAGTCCCTTCCACCAGCGGGAGGCAGGGACAGCAGGAGGTGACCATGTCCAACTTGAACAGCTCTGAGGTCTCCAGAGGTGGGGGAGGTAAAAACAGACACAAGTGATCAGGTGTGCAGTCAATGTGGCCCCTGGAAGGGCGGGTAAGGGGTGGGCCTGTGCTTGTGGGGGAGTGTGGAGGGGTGGGTCACAGACCAGGGAGTCTGTTCTGTACTCCTGAGAATGGTACCGGCTGGGATCAGAGGATAGAACTTTCTGGTCACAGGCCTATGCCTAGGTCCAGAGTAGTTTCAGAGGTTCCCCTCCGTGGGTGGTTCTCACCCCAGGCTGCACTTGAGAACCCTCTGCAGAGGTTCCCCTCCGTGGGTGGTCCTCACCCCAGGCCGCACTCCAGAACCCTCTGTAGAGCTTTACAAAGATAAATAAATCATAAAGGAGCCCGTGAGTCAAGCAGATCCCTTTAAAAGATGTTGCTAGTTTCAGTGCCCAGCAAGAGCGGAAAGCCACTGTCCAGTTGACCTGGTCATACTGAGCCACCAGTGTGGGCAAGTGGATGCTTGTCTTCATGTCAGACAGGCACGGCAAAGCACCAACAGGCATGCCTCGAGGTCAGGCACCCCCACAGAGACCAGGATGGGGCATCCCCAGACCACACATGTCATGATGCACATGGCGTCTTCAGCAACCACTCGCGACTCTGGCAATCCCTTCCCAGCACACAGGCTCAGGTCAAGATACTGAGTCCATTCTGGGGGAGAAGAGGGAAGAAGGGATGCTGGAGGGGACATGCACGAGAACATGGAGGCCCAGGAGACAGCACACTCACACCTCAGCAGGCATTGTCCACCATGCCTGTGTCTGTTACTTCCCCATCTCCATGCACCCACATAGGCAATGCACTGATACCCAACTCACAGCATGTGGTCACCCCCAGATCTAGGTCATTTAGTCTAAGCCCACAAACATGTTGTCCACGTCCCTGCCTCACCCAGCCTTCTAGATACCTCACTCTGTCTCCACATCCACACCACTGTAACCAGACACAGCACCAGACACCTGTCCAACCTCACGCATCTCCATCCCTCTCTGCATCTGAGAGGTGGTTTCCAGCATCCCACAAAGCATTGTTCCTTCTGGACACTGGGCATGTGTGTGTGTGTGCATGTGTATGAATGTATGTGTGCGTGCATGCATGCGCGTGTGTGTGCGCATGTGTGAGTGTGTGATGTGGAAGTCAAAGGATCTTCCCTCTTCACACGGGTCCTGGGCTCGAACTCATACCATTACACTTTCGTACAAACACTTTGCCAGCTGGATCATCCCGCCAGCCCCAGAGGTTGCATTTTGAGTTTTGTTTAGCTGAACTGCGCACATGACACGGAGACGCCCAGGGACTTTCCAGACCACCTGGGAAAGTGGCATCACTGACACAAAGGATCTGTTTGTCCCATGCCCTCCCTGAGGGTACAGATGACTGGCTCCAGCTATCTACTCAACCTTCTGTGCATCAGTCTCCTTCCTTGTATACACAGAACATTCCAGCAAGGGCTTAAATGGGGTGACAAAGTCCCCAGGAAGCTCTAGCCGTCTCAGAAGGATCCCTCAGGCTGGAGCTATGCTCCTAGTCTAGTTAGTCTAGTTCCCTGTGTCTGCACATGGCCGGCCTCCTTCTACGGCCCCTACTGAGAACGGAGCACGGCTTCCCAAGAAGGCAGGAGTGAACCGAGCCTCCTCCCCCTGCTTCCCATCTGCCTCTTCCCTTCTCTGCTGAAACTTCACACTCTTCAACAGTAGTAAACAAAACCAAATTGCAAACTCCCGGGCACATGGCATGGAAGCATAAGGCACCCCAGGAAGAGATGCTTGCTTACCGCTCTGAGTTCGCAGGCATGGTGGGATCGATAGAGACCATGGCGTCATCCGTGGTCAGAAGGGAGATGGTGGTGTTCCTGCAAAAGACTCAAGTCAGCACCGCCCCCTGTACACACGTGCACCCAGGCCTCACGTGACAGAGCCCAGAGGAACGAGGCTCGCCCTGAGGACTGGGGACCAGGTGTCCTTGACTAAGGGCAGGCAAGGCAGCGGGTTGTACCCCACCCTCCCTTAGCAAATCCTGTTAAAAGGGTAAGCGTATTCTAAGAGCCTGCCAGTTTTTAACTAATTTAAAGTGGGAATTGGAGCAAGGCTAATTTATTGAGTTGGGAGATGAAAGAAGCTACGGTGCCCCAAAACTAACATAAATCAGAGACAAGAATCATCGCTTGCTTATCTGGCTGCTTCTGGACCCTGGGAGAGCCCAATGCGCAGGTCCCATTGCTCTCCCACAAAGCGGACTTAAATGGTCAAAACCAGTTTCTTCTGCAGCTTCTCATCTCTGGGGTTTCTGAGGAGCTGTTACCTCTGCCAAGTGAACTAAGCCCTCGGATCCTCAGCTGTGAATGACCACTACTGTATTTTAATTTGTGTGTATAAGGATGAGTGCATGCTGTGTGGTGCATGAGGCCGGAGGTCAACCTCCAAGGCATTCCTCGGGCAGCACGCGCCTTCAATTTTGAGACAGAGTCTCGTAGTGGGACTGGGGCCTGCAATTCAGCTAGCCTGCCTGGCTAGTGAACCCCCACTGCCCGTACCTGCCTGTCCCTGCCTCCTAAGGACTGGGATTACAAGTGTGTGCCACCACACTTGGCTTTTTATGTGAGTGTTAACTCGGGTCCTCACTCTTGCACAGCAAGGACTTTATCCAGCTCCCCAGGGGCCTGTGAATTCTTCAGATCAGTACCATGGAAATGAGACCCCAGTCTTACAGGGTAGGGAAGCTGCCCGCGTGGTGGCTGCTTTGACTGCACTAGAATCATCTGCTGTGGCCTCCAGGACACGGCTTCATCACCGCAGTCCCTTTCTTGCTGGTTTGCGAAAAGCTTTGGTCATCCTTCGGACCCTTTCACCTCCACTGACTCTGACCCCAACTTTAAGGTTCTTGCCATCCAGTGTCATACCCATACACCTCTTTTTTCTCCTGCTTCTTTCTTTAGTTCTGTCTGTGAGAGAGTCTCACAGTATAGTCCAGGCTGACCTCTCACTCACAATCCTCCTGCCTCAACCTCCCAAATACCAGCATTACAGGCATATGTCATCGTGCCTGGCTTTTGGTTGTCTTTTCTAATGGAAAATTAGGTGTTAAAATGAATCATGTGCACCTTAGCCAAAATGCTCAGGGCCAGAGTATTTGGGACTTTTTTTTTCTTCAGATTTTAGGCTACTTGAATTTCTGGGATGTAATACTACAAGGAGCAGACCCATGTGTAAACACAATCCATGTCTTTCATGCTGTGTTTTGATTGACATTGCACCAGGTCATTCTCCACTTTTGATGTCAGGTCAGCGCTAAAACTGTTTCAGAGTTTGGAGAACTTGGGGTTTGGGGACTAGCGAGGCTCAGCCTGTAATTAGAAAATCCCCATGCTAGTACAGACTGGATTTAGGAAAGAAACCGTGGGGGGATTTGGAGGGTTCTGTAGGATAGACACCGGCTTTTAGCTCATCTTGAAGCCAGCTGTGTGTCACGCTGACGACAGCACCCCTGAGAGCAAGGACGTTTACAGCTATTTGAGGCGGGAGCAACTCTGGACACGGCCACCTTCCTTTCTCAACAGGGAGTGAACACGTGAGTGGAGGGAAAGGCCCAGCTCTGAAGAGGGGGCCCTGCTGAGTTCAACCCGGGGGCTGGACTCGGCTGCCGAGGAGGTGCCGAGCCGGACTGAGCCTCACTGATCTGACCCTCCATCTGCAGCTTCACCTGCCCCTGGTCCACTGTGGGGATGACGCGGTCCTCATCACGGAGCACACAGGGGACACTCACCGAGGCAGGCCAGTGGCGATGCAGAACAGGTCCATAATGTCGCTGGAGTTGCAGTACTTGCTGAAAACCACCTGCAAAACACGGAAGGTAGGCTGGGGAGTAGGCTCAGCGAGTCGTGCGCCTGCTCTTCAAGCATGAGGACCCAGGTTCAATCCCTAGAACTCATGTATGTATCCAAATGTCACAAGCTTCTGACACCAACACCAGGGAGGCAGAGACAAGAGCATCCCTAGAGCTCACTGGTTAACCAGCCTAACCTATGTGGTGAGTGCCAGGCCGGTGAGAGACGTTGCCTCGAAAAATGAGACTCATGACCTCTGGTTTCCCATATGCATGTGCGCACATGTATATCTACATCCATACGAACACACATGTGCACACATGCATTTAAACAAAAAAGCACAAATCACAGGCAGTGAGGTAGCAGAGCGGTGGCTGGTTGCCATGGAGATGCTGGATTCCAGGTACCAGGTACTCCCTTGCCCTTCGGAACCGGTGTTTACTTTTCAAAACCGTGGGCTCTCTGATGTCACGTGAGCATCTCTTCATTTTATCAGCGTGTATGGATTGTGGAAAAGCTTCATTCCTTTGTTAGGTGAAAATAAATCGCTCGCCTGCGTCCCCGGGCCTGCAGTGCCCGTGGCTGCGTGTGGCACAAAGGTGAGGATGAAGTTTCAGGGCACCGCAGCACAGCTGGTCTCCAGTCACTTCACAGAGTTGTCATGGGAAAGGCAAATTTAAGTTTATTGATTAAAATAAAATGATTGCCTTTTAGCCTTTGGGGAATGAGGATCTGGGGCCGAACAACTAGATCAAAGGGGGGCTCGAAATGACAAGAGAACAGCTGTGGACTGCGGGTGTCACAGCAACATATAAACTGTATACCCTGCACCTCTGCACAGCGGCCAGCATCCAGCCCCGGCCCTGCAGGACAGCGAGGGCTGGTCTTGCCTTGGCATGGTCTGCACAAGAGCCTGGATGTGGGCAGGTCTCAGCTCTTTGTCACTGGTAATCATCCTATTATTATTGCCATCCCTTCTTGTTAATAATATCTTTTATAACAATATATTAACATATTATATATAATATAATAGTAATCCCACAATTAATAGTTCAAACTTTATGACAGTTCCCCCCCCCCTTCCTTTCTCTCTTGTCCTGGGCATCCAACCAAGGGCCTTGCACGTCAAAGGAGAATGGTTTGCACTGACCCAGCCCCTTTCTGAGACGGTGTCGCACTGTGTGGCCTGGAATTGAAACCCCCCATCTCCAGATCTGGACTACTGGGATCACAGGCACCCCTAAGCCCCACTTTCATTCAACAGATGCTGCCCCTGGGTGCTTCTTCTGGGCTTACTGCAGTAAGTGCCCTTCAGTACTCTGCCCAAGTCCCTGTGTTTGGAGGAGGACCCGGGCTGATAATTACTTCCGGAGGCCTGGCAGTTTTTTTTTTTTTCTTTTTTAGCTGAGTTGCTTCTTGCTCTACTTAGAAACGGCGGAATATAGCAAACAGACAACTCTCTCCCATGAACCTGGCCTTTCTGTGACTAAGGCCATTTCCTGCATGCTGCTAGGCCAGCAATGATACAGAAACAGCATTTGTTCATGCCTTGATGGTTCTGCCCTGTGTACCAGTACCAGGACGACCGTGATAGCTGTGACCGCATTTTCCATCTGCACTGTCCCTGATGTCTTTAGCTCCCTGCTGAGGGTGCCGTTCCAGCTCGTCTCTGGTCATATCCTGATTCCTGCAGTAGCCTCCTCCCTGGCTCAATTCCTGTCTCATCCCATCCATGCCATACTTCTCTTTGCAGGGTCCCTGTGAGCTCCTGTCACCCGCAGGAGAGATCTGACTCTTTGCTGGGCATGTAGGGGTCCAGGGTTTGTCCCCTCCCAGCCTGTGGCCTGGCTAAGTGTCTCCACTGTGGTCTCTCACTCCAGCCCTATGAATTCCCCTCTCCTAGCCCTCCTGTTCTCTCTTCATCCTGCTGTTTACAGCGGCAGGCAGTGTCTTTGGTCTCTACTGTCAGCAGAACACACCTTTACCCAGGACCAGCCTTGTTTCTCCCATGACCACTCCTGGCATGAGCCTCTGAGCCATGGTTTATGATATAAATTTTCTGGCATAGCCAACGTGGGGTCCCGAGTCAGCCTGGGGTTCTAGCCATTCATCGAGGCATTTGGGGTCTTTCTTGTAGCTCACGCTGCCTGTTCAGTTTGGTCTTTGAGGTCTCACGCTCGTGTGAGCTGGAGGTGGAAGGAGGGAGGCAGGAAGGCCCTTTCTATAACAGATGGTGCAGGGAGACTTCTAAAAAGAGGGGCAGGCAAGAGGCTTTTCAAAGTGTGCCCGCAGTCAGAGACGCAGTGGTCCCTGGGCCATCTCAGGGACACCATGAAAAGGATCCCAGGCAAAAGGAATCCATCCTTTGCTTTAACTAGGCTCAGAGGGGCCCTGAGGGGTGGGGCAGGCTACAAGATGTGGGCTATGGTGCTGTGGGCCAGCTATCCCTCTCCCTCTCCCCTACACAAATGCTAAGGGTGTCATGTGGCGGGGGGGGGGCTGCTCCAGCTCCCCAGAACCCCTAGAACAGATCCTAACATTGCATCCTCTGTGCAGCCAAGAGAGACTGACACCAGGCCTCTTAGGGCCCACGTGGTGTCCAGTGGGGCTTTCTGCCCTCTGAGTTCTTGCTTCTAGAAGTCGGAGAAAATTCCCTGACTTCTTTTGTTCTTATGTTACACTTAGTTAGTTGTGTTAATACATGCATGCCACGGTTGCCAGTCAAGGCCCTTTGCCTGTCGAGCCATCTCTCTGGGCCCCACCCACTTCTTTGTGACTCAGTTTTCAGTTCCGTGGAATGGGCCCACAAAGGCGTCGGCTGTCACCTAGCGATGGCTTAGCCCTGAGTGACATTCCTTAAGGTTCTACGGTCAAACTTGTGTGATTCTGAAGAATCCGAGGCCACAGTGAAGGACCATACCAAACTGCAGACTCAGAGCCAAGTCCAGACAGGCCTCCATGCCCACCTCCACCCAGAACTCCTGTTCGCTGAGGAACAGCATAGCGAGTCTGCCAAGCATGGCCGGCAGAATTCACCACAGAGGACAGAGTGAGCCCCGAGACATTTCGCTTGTGTGTCCTGAGCTCCTCGAAGAAGCTTCTTCTTAAGCATTTAAACAAACTGGTAATTTTTAAACACTGAAATGAAACACTGGAATGAAACATTTTAAAATAATATCTGGTTTTTCCTGCCATCTCCGCCTCCTCCCTAGACTCAGGAAGTTGTATTAAATAGTCTTCCTTTCCATAGCAACAGGGTTATCTGCAGAGGTTCCTCCAGAGCAGTGGGCGATGCCTGAGGAGTGAGGGCGACCATCATGGGGTCAACGCTTTGAAATCCTCTGGGGGTTGGAGAGTAGCCTGCTTCGTGGGGTCACAGTCGGCTCAGTGAAAAGAAACGCCTTAGGTTCTGGTAGGTCCCGGCAATTTTGAGACAAGGGGTTTGCCTAGATTTATAAGGACCATTGATGATGTGTGAAGGAAAAAGAAATAGTTTGATGCTTGGGCTTCCAAAGATAGGATGGCAAAGAGTTGACATTTTTCAAATCTGAAGGGTAGGGTCTTTACCAGAGACAGTGGCATTTGAGAGGCTGAAGCAGGAGGATCATGAATTTGAGGTCAACCTGGGCTACAGGGTGAGTCTGGGACTTGCCTGGGCTATGTAAGATCTGGTCTCAAAAGAAAAAAAGAAAAGAAAAAAGAAAAAAGGAAAGGTAAGTGTTTTATTGATACTCATAGGAGACCTGTTCTTTCCTGGATGGAGACGGAAGAGAAGGGGACTGGGGGAGTGAGGGGAGACGTGGGAGAGGAACTGGGAGGGGAGGATGGGGGAGGCTGCGGTTTGGATGTCAAACAAACAGATTAATAAATAATAATACTAGAAAAGGTAAGCCTTCCAGTCAATCAAATGGAAGGCCCTGTGGCACCTGACACCTCGCTGCTCCTGTGCGAACAGCTGAGCTGGAGCTAGGGTGACGCCTTTGTTCTGGGATCAAGAACCACCTCCTGACAGCGTTTCTGACAAAGGGCCTAGGGAGGCTTACAGAGCCTTGAAATGAGAAGAAAGATTACATGGGGAACCTTGGCAGAAAGCACTGCGAACCCACATTCCTCTACTCTGCGGCTCTGCCAGCTTTTCCGAGGCCTCTTTTGAGTTGGCTGCAACACTAGTTGAGCAAAAGCCTTCTGACACAGGGACATCTCAGGAGCAGGAAGGTCACGTCTCTTTGTTGCTAATTAGTCTCCAGCATGGCCAATGCCAGGAGAGTCCAAGATGCCAGAGGGCAGGGCGCTGCTGGGAGGGCTGGAGTCAGGAAACACCCAGCTTGGACCAACTGTCCCTGACTGCAGAGACGGAATGGCTGCCGTGCATGCCCATGAGACCCCCAGGCAGCCTCATCAGGAAGGGCGTGGGGCTGTCTGTCTACACGGTGAACCATTCTGTAGGTCCTTTGTCCGTCACCCAGAAACAGCAAAAGAAAAAAGAAGCTGAAATGTAAACAAGATGCCAAGGCAGGCAGATTCACGGGAGTTTTCAGTCTGCCATCCAGCTTTCGGAGGCAGATCAGGGCTGGGGCTCATAAGCAAGCAAGATTCTCCATTTCATGGAAAATCGCCCCCAAATCTTTCATGTGGCTTGACTAGCAGCACTGGGTTATTAAAACACTGGCAAGAGACACAAACAAAGAAAGTAGAAGGCTTCTCTTCACCGGGTATCGGCCCTTCTCTTTCCCAGCTGGGACCTGGGAATGTCACTGAGCAGCTTTGTCCGGAGCCAGTCCCCACCCCATCTCCATGCCGCCCACGGAAAAGAATACAGACACTTGCCAAGAGTTGGTGGAAGCCAAGCACAATTCAAAAAAACAGAGGCACTCGGACGTGTGTGAGCCCCCATGGGCCCAGCCAGGGCTGAGGTTTCATCTCAGGCCACCCGACCATGAGGGTACACACCCTGGAAACTACTGACCCTGGTTACTTAGTCGGTATTTGAATCAGCATCCTGCTTTGGAC